GTTACGCGTATCTCGCCCTAGGGTGTCGCGCATAGGTCCTAATTCAAGGACGTGGTCCACGGGCCCTTAGGTACAATAGTGGGTCGGGTCCTTTTAGTGGGCATGCTGAGCAAATGAAGCCGGAGAGTAGTCTGGATCATAGTGGTTTGCTCTTCTTCGTCGATAGAGCGTAGTAGTAGCGGTATCTTGCAATGGCGTTCTTGTTATAATGGATTATTGACTACACTAACCCGTCTGCAAGCGGTTTAGTATCTGGACACTAGTGCACTGCCACCGCCCAGGTCTGCCCAGGTGGGCCCGAATGTTTACAAGTCTAACTCATCTCGGGTTCTATCATAACAGAGCCCAAGAGAGAGCGAGAGAGACGTTGAGGGTACCAAGATCACTGCTACAGCCTTCCCCTCCTCCTCCTCTCGACCCCCTTCCCTTCCTTGCCTCCACCTAGTCACTCCTTCTTCTCAACCACCAAATTCCTCCTCAGCGCCTCCAACTCCCCATCCCCAAGCCCACAGTACTCCCTCATATACCGTTCCGCACCCCCAAACCGACTATCCAACATCTCCAAACTCGCCAACATACTCTCCTTCCTCGACCCCACCATGCGCAACGCAGCCTGCCTCCCCTTCTCCAGGATCTCAGGCGGAAACTCCGACGTATCAGCACCCTCGCTATCCCTTCCTTGAATAATCTGTGCCATCTCCTCCTTCGATAGAGGTCTTCCGGTTAATTGCGCAAGCATATACTTCCTAAACCCCGGACTCGTCAACAAGCGCTCCACAATCTCGTCTCTCGCAGGGCGGAGGCCTAGTTCGGTGAGTGCGTACTCTTCCGCGATCTGCTCGCGCGGGACACCGAGGAAATCGAAGAGGAGGCCGAAGAAGATTCCTGTTCGGTCTTTGCCGGCTGTGCAGTGAATAAGCGCACCGTGTTTCTGTCCTTCTTTTCCCTCGCTGTTACCGCTGTCATCGGATGGTGGTAAAGACAGACCCGCCAGATACCGCAAAATCGTCCCATAAGCCCTCCCTCCATCCCCCAAAATACTACCATAAGCCTCCACAAACCCCTTGACATCCTCATCCATGTAATTCGCATACCGCTCCGCCAACTTCTCAGGACTATAGTCTTCATCTGAGAACACGGGTGTCCACGTGCGTTTCACACCTGCTTCCTCCATGGCTTGGATCCAGCCTGGTCTGAAATCTTGCTTGCCGGACCCATCGTCGCCGACGATGCCGGCCCAGCCTTTTTCTACTTCGGGTAAGCTGCGCAGGTCGAAGACGTGGGCGACGCCGATATCGCGGACGGCGGTCCAGCCAGCGGTATCCAACTTGGCCACTTCGGCGCTGCGGAAGAGGACGCCTGGGCGCAGTGTGGAGCCGGAGGTGGTGGTGAGGGAGTGGGTGGCTAGGCGCAGGTTGTTGATGTTGGGGATGTGGGTGTAGAAGGGTGGGATGGGGAGGGTGGGGTTGGAGGGGGATGGCATGGTGGTGTGGTTGTGGTGTAGCGGTGATATAGCGGTAGTGTTGATATGTGTGTAGCTGATTTAATGATGGGATTCCGCTGTTTCCAAAGTAGACTTCGTGGAGGTTATGTAGAGGTTGACGGATTATTCGGTGTGAACAATTGGTACTGTGAACGGTTCCAGTTGAAGGATATGAGGTGTCAAATGTCAACGGCACAGCTGCTAATGCAAGGGGGAGCCTTCACAACACGTGTCGTGTTTGAATTCTGGTTGGTACCTAGGTAGTCGGACCAACGTTCATGATGTGTAAACATCAGCCCCACCATCGCACTCACACTAGCCATGTGCCGAGGTGTAGAGCGGGATGAGTGCACATGGTGCCCACGCCGCGTAATCAAGCATCATCCCTACTTCACGCCCATGGCACTCATTACCATCCAAAAAGTTCAAGAAAACATTCCAACTTCGATTTCTGGGGGTATACATATGATCATCAACCAAAAGACGGAACCACATATCGACCAAGCCAAAATGGTGGTATATTCCGTCGAAGCCTATACACCCGTTTCCAAGAATGATGGAAGAAATAAACCCAGGACTATATCTAGTCTATGACGCCACAGACGCCCGCGAGACTTTTCGTAACGCACGGAAAACATCAACAACCGTTGTCACAACGGTCATGACCACAAAAGCCTACGAAGGCTTATCACAACCAATACGACCGAGCAGCTCCTTGCGATCGCCATGGCCGGGAATACTAATCCCACTAGCGCGCGAGCTTTCCCTCTTTGCTTGTCGTCGCTGACTGGCGCCGTTGAGACGCGCAAAGGTGAGGGCATCGACGCCGACTTCCTCTTCCTTAGGCGTCATGGAGCTCATTCCGCTCTCGCCGCAGGTGGTGGCCATGTTGAAGATGGTCTTGGTCTGCTCCTGCTCGACCTCCTCGTCCTCGCCCTCGTCATCTGAACGCAGATCCTCCGCTGCGTTGCCCATGAGCACTTTGTAGACGATCTTCGCAATGGTGGCGAACCAGATGCAGCAGAAGACTTGGAGTGTGAGGAGGAGCGCGAGGAAGTAGTATCGGATTTGCGGGTTCCAGCAAATGGGTCCGTTGCGGTCGTTGTACGCCTTGAGTAGATTGCCCCAGTGGTTGTTACCGCCGTATGCTTCAAATTGTGAGGTATTGGATGCGGGGACGAAAGAGGTGTACTTCGAGGTGGAGTCGGCGAGGTAGCAGCCGGGTGCCATGTCGACAGGGGCATAGGCGTAGATGGACCAGCAGACCATCATGTAGAGAACGTGGCGGGTGACGACCCAGGCGATGACGAAGAGACCGAAAGCGTAGTCGCAGGCATTCGAGTAGCCCATGTACTTGAGGAGTTTTGCGGTCTGCAATTGTCAGTTCCCGTATGTGGATTTGGCCAGTCAAGGCTGCTTACCGGCAGGATGATGTCGACAAAGTCCATGATGGTCAGAATGACGATTCCGACGCGCATGTGGAAGTAGCCGTAGGACAAGCACATCAGCGCGGTGGTGAAGATGTGGTGGGTGAACATCTGCGCGTAGTCCTTGCGCTTCTCCTCAATATTGACGACAAGAAGCTGCTGGACCCAGAAGCCCCATTGGACGAGGTAGTACCACTTGAAAAGGCCGTCAGCCTCACGGAAAGGCCAGCCTTCCCATATGCCGTGCAAGTCTAGCCAGAACTCGGAGTGGTACATGATGTACTGTAGCCTTGTTAGCACTGCCACTCCATATGTTCTGTGTTGTGCAACATACCATTCCCAAGGACCACGACGCGGTGTAGTAGACAATCAACCAGGCCTGCTCCTTGAACCTGTCCAGGCCCTTCTTTGTCCTGATACCACCCAGCCTTGCCAGCGGGTCGAGCAAGTATTCCATGACTGCGACGCGTACACCAGTGAAGATGACGGTCCACAGTAGGACAAATGGCAGATCATCGGTGCCACAGCCGTACATGTTGGTGTCGGGGTTGTAGTACGACATGTGGAAGAACTTGTTGGTCCGGCTGCGGGCGCGGGGGAAGAATGTGTGCGTGAGGACGAGGAGGGTGAGGAGGTTGACGGAGATACCTGTGGGAGTCAGTATTCACATGTTCAGTATCCTTGAGAGTCTGCGAGAGCGTACCAATCTGGTGTTCCAAGATGAGGGTGCACAGAGAGGCCATGAGCCCCTCATCCTCGACCTTCTTTGCCTGCATCTTCCGCCTCTTAGGCGCAGTCGGTAGCTTTTGCGCTTGCATGTCCGCCGTGTGCGTCTTTCCCAGCGCGCCGTTGGCGTTGTGTGTCGTCGCCATGGTGGCTGGTTGCAATATGCCCCAATGTGGGGAGCGAGAGTGTGATGGAGCGACGCTGTCGCGGTACCCGCTGTCTCGAGGCGGTCCGATAGAGGAGCCAATGGCAGAGGAATGAGTTCCAGAGAGTGCTTGCAGCCCGGCGACGGTTTCCGGTGTCGGTTGCCGGCGTGTAGTGCGGCGTGTGGGCTCGATGGGTGTCGTTGGTGGTCGCTCAACAGTCACGTCTTAGCGAACGGAGGCGGGTGCGTGTCTCAGCAACCAGCAGCCATTGAGCAGCGAAACGGGCGAAAGAATGGGCGCGGTAGGCTGTCGATGCGTAGGCGAGGTTTCGGCGGGGGAGAGCACGATGCGCCCGGGCAGAGCAGAGTCGAGGGAGCGGTGTGGTGGTCCCAAGCAAAGATATTCAGGGTTTAGAGATGGATGGGGCAAGCGCGGATCAACAATCTCCTGAGCGGGCCACGCGAATTGCACCTTTGCCTGGCTGCCAGCTGCGAGTCTGGGTGAAGGATGGCACAGGCGTGTCCAATTGCTCTCCCTGTATTTCTGGACAGGTGTCGCGGGAGCTAGCAGTATTCGCTGTAGCAAGAGCTGTGTCTGGAGCGCGCTACGAATCTGCCCACTTCAAAAATGGGGCCTCGCCTAACCCGACTGCAGCATGCGCCTAAGGGTGTAACGCGAACAAAGACAGGCAGTGTTGCATCGCGCGAAAGGAGGTGGCAAGCCTATATGGGAGTTCAGTCTCGTCCCCATCTGCCCCTAACACGGGCCCTGCACCGTTATCGTCGAGTTCCTGCGAGGGTCGGTTTGCCAAGACATCCGCCGACGAAGCTTGGTGCTCCGAAAATCAAGGGTCCGGGCGTTTCACCCTCCCGACCTATCAACGCGCCCACGCTCCCTGCAGCCCCATAGTGCTACCCCGCCATGGCCTGACCGATATGCATGCATAGCTATTGGATGCAGCATGCGATAGAATGGTCGCCTCTATTCCATCATGAGACGGAAGAACTGTCTTCAGCATACAAACACCGATTATCTGGTAATTGCTTTCGGTGCGAAGAGAAGTGTAAAAGTGATATTATACAACTACGGCTAAGTAACATAGAGTATCAGGATCCATACCCAGCTCCTTAACCCACACGATCCCAGCATAGTGATATCGATTCCCATAACGCCGTACAATTTCTCCCAAGTGAATTTACACCTGCTTTATACTCCCGCCTAGTTGTTGTTCTGTGAGTTGAGGATCCTCAGGATGGCGAGGAACAGGTTGATGATATCGAGGTAGAGCGAGATGGACGCCGCAATCTCCTCCTCGACGTGGTAGTGGCGCATGATCATCTGCGTGTCCACCAGGATGTAGCCAGAGAAGATGAGCGCGCAGACAACGCCGTATCCTAGCTCCACCGAGCTGCTGTGGGGAAAGAACATGGACATGAAGCCGAACAGGACCACAACCCACAGCGCGCCGAAAAGGTATGGTGCCCAGTGCGTGAAGTCGTACTTGCTCTGGCAGGCGAACAGGCTCAGCGCGATGAATATGCCCAGTGTGAAGAAAAGCGCCTGCAGCACAATCCTGGAGTCGGTGAAGGAGACGATGACGGAGATGGAGTATGCTTCCATGGCGGTGAAGCCGGCGAGGAAGAGAAGATTGGTCGGGTACGACTTGCGCTTCCAGAAGGTGAGGCCGAGGAAGACGAAGGAGCCGATGAGCGACACCCACATGAGCGCAGGGGTTTGTTGGATGAAGTTCTTGTAAGATTCCGACATCATCGAGAGGGCGCTGACGGCGGCGGTTGCGAGCAGCTGGACGGTCCTGTAGAGAGTCAGTATGCGCGACGTTCGCCTTTGAGGCATGAAGGCAAGGTACTTACAAGATGGCGTAGACCTTGCGGATGAAAGCCATCCGGATGTCCAGTGTCGCCTCTGCCACAACACCGCCAAACTTGAAGTCATCGGGCAGGTTGTCGTTTTCGCCACGGGGAACGCCGCTGAGGAGGGCTTCTTGGGGGTCGTTGGCCGCCTGGTAGCTGGGTGGCGCCTGCGAATATGACGGCGCGGGCGCCGCCTCGTCGAGCGAGTCGCGCTGAGGCACGTTCTGGTATTTGGGTGCGCCCATCGTGATGGAGTTGTCGCAGAGGTTGACTGCGTGCGATGCGAAAGCGGAGGTTGAGGTGCGCGTTGGTGTAGGTGGAACCTTGGAAGGATGAAGGTGCGTGAGATGCACTAGGGCTGTGCTGACATTATGAGGTCACTCCTGCCGCGGAACTTCGTTTCACGTGCCCGCGTCACGATCAACTCGCAACTTCCAGCTTCTTCCACCCCGCCCGATAAATACCAACGCCAACGACTACCTTGCGGATACTTGGGCTGCGCGTTCTAAGTACACACTACTCCAGGCATGTCATTGCCAATACCTAGGTAACATCTGCCATGCCGAGCATGTGCGACAGACCGCATAGCTTCGTCGAGTACCGTGTGCTCAGGCATCATAATATGCACATGCGCGTAGCCTCAGCCTCGCCCGACTCACATGCATATACCCATACACACCTACCAATAGGACAACATGCACGTGGTTGTGCAACCACTCGGGGGCGGTTGTCGAGACAGCCACTGCAATTGCGGTCTCAGCCTTGTCAAGATGCTGCCGTGCCATGATAAGCATTCTCGCCCCTCGTAAGCTTACTACTTCCATCTTTTCCTCTCTTTTCTTCTCTTCTCGATAGTGTTGTTACTACCAAGAATGCCAAAGACTCACAAATATGCGCACCTCTCGCCGGCACCTTCTCTCCCACCTTTGCGTGCGGACTACGGAGAATCCGACGATGCCATACCACTCATTCACTTGCCACAGCGCACTACAGAGGCTTCGCTACACAATAGCACCTCGAGTAACAATAAGACGGTCTTGCAAGACGAAGTCAGCGCAAGCGACCCAATCGCGTGAGCTGCAAATCTATCTACCAGAGTCTTGCACGCAAGGCTGACCCATGCAGGCAACCCATGCCGGACACCAAGATCACCGCAGCCAACAATACTCTCCTGAGGACATCACCACGCTGGACACCACCACAGCTTCCACGCCCAATTAGGAAAGTAACACAAGCTTGGGATCTGCGACTGAGACGAAGTCGCTTCCATGGGTGGCGCATGGGGGTGCTATTCGGCTGTTGCATGTCCTTCTTCGTCCTTTCCTGCAACATCGCGCTTATCATCGTCGGAGCAACCAGTAAATCCGGCTATGATGTTGAGGGTATTTCCACAATCATTGAAGGAGACGAGACGTTCGCTTCCAAGTGGAATACAATTTTGCATATTCTTATCAACGCACTCAGCACGCTCTTGCTATCTTCGTCAAATTACACCATGCAAGTCCTGAATTCCCCAACACGGCAAGACCTGGATGCTGCGCACGCAAGAGAAGAATGGCTTGATGTCGGACGACTAAGTAGTCGCAATATGCGAACTATTCCCTGGAGTCGCAGATTCCTCTGCTTGGTATTGGCGTTATCGTCAACACCGTTGCATATGTTGTACGTGTTGAATGAGCCTCAGGACTGCGCAAGCTCATTTTTATCAGCTACAACGCCTCGGTGTTCAAACTCATCACGAACAGAGATGATTATCTGATTAAAACAATAGACATCGCATCAGAAGCATGGAGGCAGATATCTGACAGTACTGATAACCAAACCTGGACTCAAGGAGATTACTGGTCCCTGTCAGCTGACCATTGGCACGAGCCATATTCCAAGGAGCATAACTCGATCCACGGAGATGTGGTTCTGGCGATTGACAAGATAGCTATGGATCTCGCGTTCCTCCCGTTCAACGATACCTTCGCGCAAATGGACACCGCCTTCAGGCAAAACAGCGCCGCCTCCGAGCTACCAAACTCCACCTTCGCGCAAGTCAATGCCTCCTACGTGGAATCCGATACGGTTGGAGGGCGTGCCACAGTGAAGAATCTCGTTACGGAATCGTCTAGATGGCTGGATTATTCCAACCTTGGATCATTCGGCAAGCGTAGGAGCGGCGTCTGGTTACATATAGCGAAAGCTGCCTCGAAAAAGGACTTTGCAGTCCCAAGTAAAGTGCAAGTCAGCAAGCGCTTTCTCATCTTGGTCGCATGCTTCAACTTCATCAAGTTTGCTGTCATGTTCTCGGTACTTGTGATAGATCGATCGTCTTACCTGGTCACCTTGGGAGACGCTGCAAGCTCGTTCTTAGAGCAAAGAGATCGCTATACGATCGACAAGTGTCTGCTTAGTCGAGAGGGAATGATTGCGAGGAAGGATCTCCCGAAGATTGGATACGATCGTGGCAACAAAGAGATCGAACAACTTCATTTACGACTGGAGGGATCCTGGCTTCCGTATTCACGATCGTACTTCTCCCCATACCACGACGTAGCCTCGAAAGTCTACGCATTCTTGTAAGCCTATTTTCCTCATCACCAAACACGTGGCTGACCATACAGATCCGTTCTGTCTTTGCTTCTGTGTGGTGGTGCTCTCGCAGGCGCTTTGGTCTCACGCTCAAGATGGGGGACTTCTTCAACCTCCTACATGAACCCTGCAGTAAGCCAAGAGACAGCCACTCTATGGAGTGCGTGGCTTTCCAACGTCCCACAGGTCCTGTTGTCCTTCTGTTACTTCTGGATCAACATCGTCTGTACGTCTATGGCTGCAGAGCAAGAGTGGAACAATCTGGGGGCATCTAGGAAAGGCCTCAGAGTTACAAAGCCGTATGGCCATCAAAGAAGTACATACTTCTTACAGATGCCGTACAGATGGAGTCTTCCCCTTCTGGCTATCAGTGCTACGCTACACTGGTTAATGTCACAGGCCTTTTTCCTCGTTCGCACCTTCACGTTAACCCTCGGTGGCTTGGGGGATGACGGGTATTCCCGTAATACCAGTGCGACATCAACATCAGCAATCGGCTTCTCCGCCCTAAGCCTTGTGGTCTTGATCTCCATTCTCTTTGGGTTGGTCGCTGTCATTGGTGCTATGGGACTTAGGAAGAGACAAGTACGAGTGCCTGTTGTGGCGTCTTGCAGTCTTGCGATAAGCGCTGCCTGTCACCCACCACCTGGCGATCTCAATGCGCACCTAGCCAAACTTCAATGGGGCGTCACAGAGCATAAAGTGGTCACGGGTTTCCAACATTGTTCGCTCTCTTCGAAGCCAGTCACAGAGCCGGAGGAAGGGAAAACGTATTACTGAGATGTATTCAGCACCCACGATCTATGACGTCGTAATCACAACAAGTATATCAGACCTGGAGATTTTGGAGCGAGCAGGCCGCAGTGCATTTGAGTAGCGCAATCAGGTATACCAAGTAGCCTCAGGAATCTCAGCCAACAACTCAAACCTCCCCAACTCGCGATTCTTATACGCCACTGGATCATGTAGCGTATGCGTCCTGACATCTCTCCAAAACCGGTCCAAGCCTACTTTCGCACTCGTCGCTTTCGCGCCTGTGACCTCAAACACCCCAGAAGTAACCCGCAGGCTTGTATCCGTTGTAACGACCTTGACGCTCGCAACCCATTCGGCCAGCTCCCCTCGCTGTCGTGCAGTCAGCTTTGCGCGACTGTCCAGTTCGCCTCCGTATTTGTTCAAAATGGCATCGACTTCTTGACCTGCGCGGTCTGCCAGGGCGGATGCGGCGCGGAGGTGTGCGTGGAAGTTCCCGTAGCGTTCGAGGATGTAGAATTCGTCTGTGGCTTTCTCCTTGTTCTGATCGTGCATTAGCGGTATGTACTGCTTGGGAGGATGCGGGTGTGCTTACATCGCCACCGAATGGCCATGCCCGAGTTCCCTTCACTGTATACCTCGCTGCATATTGTTGTGCGCCGAGCGCAATACCGAGGTAGAAGTTGCTGAAGACGAGCTGAATGGTTGGCAGAAGTAGCGTCGCGAACGGTATCTGCAGCGCGCGAGGATCTGGTTCTTTCCTCTCGACGTTCCATCCCAGCGCATCCGTCCAAGGTACGCGCACATCGGAGATCTTCACACTGCCCGACTCCGTTAAGCGCAGACCAATGTTATTCCAATCATGTCCAAATTGAATACCGGGTTGATCCGTCTTTGCGAAAGCGAAGATGTGGTTCCCAGTGCCTTCGTATACGCCTTCGAGGACGGTGAGATCGGAGACAACACCGCCTGTGTTAAAGAACTTGAAGCCGTTGAAGACGAGGCCGTCGCCGTCGGACTTGATGGATAGGTCGCTGTCGCGGGGATTGACGGCGCCGCCGATGAAGTAGTTGTTCGAGATTATGAGCTTCTGGAAGCGATCGGCTTGTTCGGGTGAGCCAACGATGTTCGCTGTGGTCGACCAGAGGAGGTGGTAGCCGAGTAGCATGCCGATTGACCTGAAATAGTCAGTCTGCATTCGCGTACGGGGAAAAAAGGATCGCACCCGTCTGCTTCGGCGACCTTTCGAACCGCCTTATAGCCTACACTCCAAGGCTGACCACCGCCACCATACTGCTTCGGACCAAGGAGCTTCAGTAGTCCAGAGTGCTTTAGTAGTGCAACTTCTGCACGTGGAGACTTGTTCTCTTGATCTCGCACGACGGCATCAACCGCGAGAACATCGGCTACCTCTTGAGCACGCTGGAGCCAGCCTGCTTCGTCTTCCGGGATAGAAGACCACTTCGTCTCATACTCTGCGTAGACAGCGGGGTCTCTGAAGTCAACTTGCTGCGCGTTTCCGGACTGGCTGTTGGTTCCATTGGTGATAGCCATCGTGTGGATGGATAGAATGATGACATCTCGACATCTCGATCATGATCTTATATCTAGACCCCGCGGAACATCTCTCAGGATGATGAGAATCACGCGGAGTATTGCGTGCTATTTGTTCATTCTTGAGCCATTCGCATTGGTGCGCATGAACACCTGAGTAGGTTTACGATGGCGATGAGAACGACCGGAGAGACAGGGATATACCGCCGACATGGTGAATGTTGAGTTGTCTGCCTATAGGTAGGTGTAGCTAGGAATAGTCCGATACCGTGGGGGCGTAGATTTCGCAAAGCAGTGTCGGTACAGCATGTGAACGTGAAAGTTGGAGAGTGAGACGCGTCGGCGGACCGCACCTGCATCATCGCATTTGAGCTAACCCAGAACGAGACTAGTCTGCAACCAGTGCGCACGTCCAAACGCGAACCGCGTTCGCCATCTAACCCCTCAATCGCATCATCCCCAACTCCGCACTTTCACGGCCCATCACAATGTCCAGCAGACTGCGCACCTCCGAGACACCTTCAGTGACCAGCATGCGAGCCTTGTGTTGCCTGTAGATTATTCCGCCTTTCTCTTCGCGAAGAACCGGGAAGTGTCGCCGAGTGGTAGCTCAACGATGGAGTCTTTGAGCAGCAACGCGAACGTCAGATACCACCCGGTCAATCCAGCCAAGAAACAGAAAGCACCACCGCCTTTCTTGAGAGCGACGGACGAGGTCGGGTGTCCATCTGCCGTGGCGAAATAAGAAGCCGAGACTAGTAAGAATCCTAGCTCGACACAAAAGAAGATGATGATGTAGACCAGGTTGGTCGGCAAGGACGCTACCAGAAAGACCAAGGCGAAGACAGTCCACACTGTCACACGATTAGTTGCGATTTCACCACTTGTCGGTCTTGAGCAACTCACTGATCATGAAGAATCCGAGAGCGTTGTTGTATTGCTTCACATCGCCTCCATATGCTGCCTCAACCCCGAAGGCAGGAGTCAAGATAGCACCAAAGCCGGCGTAGAACAGACCAAAAGCGCTGAAGACCGTATAAGCGAAACCGTTACCGACGGAGAGCTCCCACTGTGCAGTAACTACCAGCCCTAGTACTCAGTCAGCCAAAGCATACATATATCGTACGTTCCGGTAACTTGCCGAATGCCGCCGCAAAGAAGAAATTGGCGACGAAGACATTGTTTGTGGTCACTCCTCGCCATTCCATGAGACTGAGCGACAGCGTGGTCAGAGTCGTCGCGAAGACTCCGATTGGAAGCGCCGTCTTGATACGTTAGCAACGGTGTAAAATGCACTGGAAGCATGACTAACTCCAGCACCCAAAGTCTTTGGAGCTGCGATTGGCACGGCTGGGGACTCATGAGTGAGTTGCTTCTCGACATCGGTCGTGCCAGCGCTGCTTTTACTGTTCAAGTCAGTCGTTGAGAATTTGGACATGATTGTCTGCGCGCAAGGAATCATTCACGCAAGCGACTGGCTTTGATCCACAGGCTTTTGTACTGAATCGTCATGAACTCCCATGCTGAGAAAGACCATCGCGACGCGGGACGACGGCGGTGTCGGTACGTTGCCATTGCGATCATGCGATAGCGAATTACGTGCTTCGGCGTTACTTTCACTGCTCAGTAGCGTTCACATGGTCGTGTCGGGAAAATATCATAGTGTTGTAGTCGATGCTCGCTACCCTGGGCGATCTTGGTGTGGGGTATGCGGTGCTTGAGTATCTTGCTGCAAGTTACGGCACATCACGTCTTCGGAGGGTTGGATTGCCACATCGACCAATGGACCGAAGCTTGTAAGCAGCCAATTGAGGATGCCGGACTCGTAAAGTTGTCGTAAGATTATGCACTACATCTTGTCATATGCGAAGCCGAGATGTTGAGCTGCGATATAGAAGTTGACCAGCTGGCTTAGGCAAGATCGGCGGCAAGTCGGCTGCAATAGAGCTGAACACCAACAAGTCTACGTACCGGGTTTAATCTACGGCAATCCCACAAATCCCGCTCTCGGGATGATTGCATATCACGCAATCCACGCTTATAATGCGTATATCTGATCTGCAATCGAACCCAAGTCCATGTTGCGGGGCAGCATAGTACGGGTACTCAACTCACATACCTCCGTGTCTTCTAACTTACGTTCTGTTGTATACCTCCAAACAAGCATGACGCCGCGCAAGAGACAAAAGACAGGTGAGATTATGCGGAGACTACGGCTATCAAGAACGTGTGGGGCTGATAAGTTGTTCAGCAGCAGCAGAGAACGGAACGACGAATGGCGCCAATGGACACCTGAACAAGACAGCGCAAGATTATACGCCAGCAAAGCAACTGGACCTGAACCAAGATCCTGATCGTCTATTGTTCGCGTGAGCAATCTCCCCAAGACAGACATTTACCGCATCTCCTAACCTTGCGACACTGTAGTTACTGGGTCCCGAACGTCTCAGGCGGTCTTGTTGTCTCAAAAATAGCGCAACGAACGAGTTGGGACCTAGCGTCCAACGTACGATACGCCCGGACGGCCGAATCATACGGCTTCGAGTATGCGCTCACCCAAATCCGTTTCACCGCGTCGTATGGAGCCGATAACCAGCACGAAAGTGTATCATTGTCTCAGGCGCTGTTGCACAACACCGAGCGCATCAAGCTCATCGCTGCGATACTTCCCGGGCCATGGAACCCCACCGTCGCAGCAAAGCAGATCGCAAGTATCGACAACTACACCAACGGGCGCATTGCGGTAAACATCGTCTCGGGCTGGAACAAGAGTGAATTCCAGAGCATCGGGCAATGGTGGCTCGAGCATGCCGAACGCTATCGACGCTCCAACGAGTTCATCCGCGCACTCAAGGGCATTTGGACCGCTGGTGACGAGGGATTCACTTTTGGCGGCGACTTCTATCAATTCCGGAACTACAAGTTATCACCCAAACCACTCCAGAAGCCGCACCCGGAGATCTTCCAAGGCGGCAACAGCGACGACGCTCGGAACAACGGCGCTGAAGTCAGCGATTGGTACTTCATGAACGGCAACGATCTGGATGGCTTCCGCGAGCAGATTGAGGATGTGAAAGAGCGTGCGCGAAAAGCTGGGCGTGAAGGCCAAGTGAAGTTTGCGGTGAACGGCTTCGTCATTATCCGTGAAACGGAAGAGGAAGCTATCCGCGTGCTGAAAGAGATCCAAGGGAAAGCCGACACGGAGGCCGTTGAGGCGTTTCGAGAAGCAGTACAGCAGGCCGGTGCTAGCACAGGGAATAAGAAGGGCATGTGGGCGGACAGCAAGCTGGAAGACTTGGTGCAGTACAACGACGGCTTCAAGACCAAGTTGATTGGTACCAAAGAGCAGATTGCCGATCGAATTTTGCTGTTGAAAAGTCTGGGCGTGGACTTGGTGCTGACTGCTCACTTGCACTACGAGGAGGACATCGAGCGCTTCGGCAAGGAAGTATTACCGTTAGTAAGGAAGCTAGAAGCTGCAGGCAGAGGCAAGGATGTGGACGACGAGATCAAGCGTACGGGCGATATTTATCGGAAGTCTTAGCTGTCATGCAGCGGTGTAAGCTATCTGCAATCTCTTTCTACCCGCCTCTCTCCCACTATACATGCACTTATACAAGGTTGGGAAACGTCTGAGCCGCCGCAATACCCAAAGCCTTAGCACTCCCCTGCTTCACAACCCCAAACGTCTCCTCATTCGTCCAGAACTCAAAGTCCGCCGCACCTTTACCCGGCTTGTTGATCTGCCAAATCATCCACGGCACCTTGAGCCCATTGAAAATGTCGATATGCTGACCCACAACACTCGCCTTGTTTGAACCAGACGCACCGAACTCCTCGAACAGCACGAGCTTCTTGGCGGCTTGGGCGTGCTGCAGTGCAATGGGCGCTTTGTTGCGCCATTCGGATACGCCGCTGTAGGAGTGGATGTCGATGAGGTCGAGGGTGGCGCAGTTCCAGTTCTCGGGGATGTCGGAATTGGGGAATTCGTTTCCTCCTCCTAAACATGGATGATCAGCATCGGTGTCTCTGCGTTTGAAGGAGTGCAAAGTGGGTTGTGGACCACGTACCTGTCGAGATGAGAATGGCGCTGCTGCCCATGATGCTTCGCATCTTTTTGCTTCGATTGCACCACCATCCCGGTGCAGGCGCGATGTTGTTGCGCAGATGTCCCTGTCCCTCGTTCTGGATGTTGAACGAGAAGATGTAGTCTGACAGATCCTTCCACTGCGGTGAACCTGAGAGCAACGCATTCTTGTGTTGAAGAATATGTGTGAGACGGTTGTCGAAGTCGAAGATGGGCGATGCGTCCTGGTAGAAGAACGTCACGTCGTTCTGAGCGGCGGGCGTCCTCGCGCAGTCGATTGCGGGAAGTTTGTACTTCGATACGTATGTATCTGTGACACGCGTCAGTTAATATCACCAGTAATTCCAGTTCGGCTTTAAGGAAACATACCATTACCCCAGCAACCCAGTTGATAGCGATCATGCATAGCGATGATGAGCTTGATACCTCGGTCATGCGCCTCGACCATCAGCTGATCAATGGCCTTCAGCTGGGTGTCGTCGTATGTGCCGACCTGCTGTGGCTCGATATCGGGCATGTTGACTGAGCCAGTGTCTTTGTTGTTTTGAGGCGTGGGAGAGATGAAGATACGCAGCGTCTTGAGTTTCGCATCTTTGACCGCGTCGAGTACAGCTAGACGATCAGCCCTGTTAATGGTGAGTATATGCACGAGAAGTCCTGAGGTGCGCGTACTTCTGGTAGGCATGAAGGAAGTACGAGTTGACCCCAGCCCAGCTCGAAGAGATCGCTCTCTCATCGAGTGGTTGCGCCGCCGAGAAAGGTGCGCTCAAGGCTAGCGGGAGAAAGAACTTGAGAAGCTGCATGTTGGTTGTATTCGATGCGAAGATGCTTTGATGGCCGTCCTTCTTTCGAGGAATCTGCTCTTTCTTATGCTTCTTCGTTTCGTGCCTTTAACCTAGCGTCTTGAAAATTCGATGTGTGACCTTCTGTCTTTGGACTTGGTCTGCAACCTTCTCTTTGCTACATGCTGTCTTCCACCTTGCATTGTTCGCGCACTCCGACTCTATCTTCTCCACTCTATGTCGAAACCCAATCTTGTAGTGAGAGGAAATCTAGAACTAATGCCCAAAAAGGTTGTGCGAGTGCGGAGCAGCCAGAACCGTTCCAGGTAGGGTTAGTACATCTGTACTCCGTACCAGCACGCTAGCTTTGTGAAGGACGGAACCCGATCGCCCGTGTCACATCTAGATTAGCGGATATACAAGGCTCGCTCGTGTTGTAAAACAATCCCTAGCAATCCTCGGAGTGACGTTCTTTAGTATAGAGCGGACCGGACTGCGGGTAGGCCCAGAGCTCGAATGTATGATCGACATTTGAGGGGAAATGAATGGCGTACTGACTTTCCCGGCTGTCGGTTGTCGGAAGTACATGTAGTGCCGAGGTATCGGAGTCTCCGAGCCTTCCTCTCCCTGGACCGACCCGCGGGGGCATTGAACAACATTGCTCCCTGTTAAATGTACAGTTCTTGACTCAAATGTGACAGCTGCATAGCTTCCAGTCTGAGATATGCGTGCTGCAGCGCGGTCGCAATATGGTACAAGATTCTGCGTGCGCTACCAGCAATTTAACCAAGAGTCCAGTTGATGTCTTCCAACCCAACGTACACTGGTGCAACGATGATGAAGATTTTGTTTAGCTCATTTGGTTGTAGTCCCTCCGAGCATGTAGGGGCCCCGAGGATGGCTGGCCTAGCTGAGCAGCCGTGCATCAGCGACGGATCGCGATCATGCAGTGGTCCCACTGGCTTCACAGCCTCCCATGTCCCCCACAACAGGTCCGTATGGGCGTACCGATGTTTTGGCCATATGTACCAAGCGGTGTAAACATTGCGACGTTGTTGTTGGATCACCGGTATGCAGCCCAGACTACATGATGCCTGCAGGGTCCCAGGCAGAGGTCGGAAGTTGCTCATCGCCTCGATGAAAACGTGTACGAATAGAACAGAACCTGCTAGAGTATCCCGATTGCTATGAGACCGGCCAACAGCTCGACACCGCCAGTTGTTGCGTCAAGCTCATGAGGGATAAACGTTCGAGACCACGGCGAGCACGAGGAAGCCGAATGGTATCGCAAGAGCGCATCGACGGACAGGATGATGGAGATATGACTCTAGTCTTGACCGGGAGGGATACTTTGACGAAAGGTCGACTCGTAGACGCCAGCATGCTGAACAGAGGCGAACGTTTGGGCAGCGCGTTGCGGGTGGATGTTGAGGGCGTCGTGAGGGTGGCGCGCAGATGGGCGGGCCGAGGCGCGTTGTCGCTTAATTCCGGGCAGGCTGCAAGCGTATCTCCGGGCGGCAGCATCGCCGCAAGCCTCCACGTCCTCAACAGCACCGTAACTGTGCCCACCACCCGCCGCACCGCAGACGAATACACGCAGCCAGTTCATCGAGATGCTACAAGATTCTCACGCGTCGCGAATACCTGTCTCAACATCCGCGCACACACGAGCACGCACAAGCGCGACTGCCCTTGTCAACACGGCAAACTGTGCGCGCACTCTTGCGACGACGAATTGACGACGCGATCAGAGAGCATCTCCCGCCCGAGATACAATACCCTTAGTCCAACCGCTTCGTTGCGCTCGTGCGCTTCCAGTATCACACCCATCCGCAGAGAGCTGCTAGTCCGATCTAGGCCGTCCAGCCAGCAAGTCTGTCAAAATATCGTCGTGAACACATGTTTGATTAGCGCCGTCCTATAGGAAGTTTAGCCCGACACATAAGCAGGCCATATCCATATGGAGCGTTACCTCGGCTATGATGCTCTCGAAACGCGTCGGGCCATGATATGAAGGGCATCGCAGGTAATGCCAACCAGCTGTTGTCGCACGTCTTCGCCGCATTGCGCGAGACTGATACGTCATGCACTCCACCAGTCGAATCGAGAAGTCGGAGACATAGACATGTGATGGCATGCTTCGCTGACTTGGGTGATCGATACTTCGGTAGGGGAGCTCGCGCATTCGCATCGAGATGGCAATGTTCTGCGCAGCTCAGAAGGAGAACATCACATGGATCATGATCTGCAGTGTTTGAATGATCCAGAAAAACATTATGATTATAGCTACGGGTCCAACCGACTGCAAGATCCCTCACTATCTAGTCCACCGCTCTTCTAAACGGTTCCCTCCTTGTCCAAGTCGGCAGTGGCAGTGCCGACCTGGCTGAGGGCAATAGGGATAGGTCCGTTCATCCTGACCATGAAGTCGCCCACCATGGAAGGTCTAAAGTTATGTCAGCACGCGTTCTCCCCACCCGATAATCGCTCGAATAACTCACCCGTTAAGAACGTGGGCCAATCTCAGATAGATGCCGCCCTCCACCTGCAAGACGCGGAATGTGTATGAAGAGTCGTCACAGCTGTAGACTTTTTCGACCTCGAAGGTAGGGTTGGCAGCGCAGTGGACGTTGTCAACGTGTTGAGAGTGAACGTAGAACGAGAAATACGTCGCGTCGCGACCGCCATACGAGGCGTTGTTGACGGTAACGGTCTCGAATTGGTCCTCCTGGACGGCGGTGGGTGCGGCGGCGGCAATGCCGGCGAAGATGGCAGCGATGGTGGCGAACTTCATGATTGATTCGTGGATTGGTAGCGAAAGTGGGTGAAGTGAGTGAACCTTGTTGTGAAGAGATGGATGGATGCTGTGTAGTGAGTACTTGACGGAAGCCCTTCAACGTTTATATACGCAGGTCAGTCTACGTCCGCCGTTGACTAGTGCAGTGACAAGCTTTCGTCTATTTCGGGCAGGCGTCAATGCGGCTGATGCTTGTGCTTTCGAAATATCTATACGGGGTTACATTGGAGATTGCCGACAAGGAAGTGCACCGCTGAACGGACGTCAGACTGAAGACAATTTAATAGTAGCGGCGCTATACTTCGCTTTCGTGTAGTCCTTCCTTGCAGACTTGTGGGGAAGGAGCCTTCAAGCTAATCGGCGCGAGTAGATTTGTTTACCGCCTCGTTTCTCGAAGCCTTGCAGTCATGCCACACCGCAAACGTCCATCACCCACCGCGATTTCGATGATCATCTCGTAAATACATCGGGCGAGCCACATTATCTCGTATCGTGGAGCAGCGGTCCGAAGGGAGCCAGCGTCGAATCTTCGCTGCACCCGCGCAGGGTCTTGCTATCAAACCCAGAGTCTAGTGTCGAGGTGTACTCAACAGATGTGCAGTGAGAGTTTCCTTGCGGAGTGATCAATTTCAGGACTAACACGCCGTCGACCTCGTCTTCTAGAAGGTTTCGACGTGTTATGCGAAGGCTCACGTGAGTACCCGCCGGCTTTTCATCCGTAGTACGGGTTCTTTACCCGTAGTACACAGCTCCCGGTCGTTGAATAGCATGCAATGTCCGCGCTGACCCGATAATGCTAAACTTAGCATGTCAATACGGGGAATTCATGCGCATCTCCTAGGACCACCCGAAATATCGGCGCAACCGCCCATTCTGTGGTGGATTCATGCGACGAAGCCGAACGCGAAGATGTTTGTGACCACCACGCAGCAGGTTTACGTCAGTGGCCTGGCAACGTTATCAACTTCCAGATAGGAAAGAGCTGCTGCGCTATGGAGTATTACCTTCGGATCTTCCATCCTGGGTGTCCTCGTCAGTCCAGCAATGCGGTCTGGATGTGAGTTCACTCGGCCGACGTTGTTACCACAATCCTGGTCACCAATGCGCCGAATACCATCACACCGATAGATCTGCACGTTCGCACGGAAGCCATGGCAATGGAAGCGTTCGCCTTTATACATGTGCTTCGAGTGCTTCTTCCCGCGGTCCTTTCCATCGCACGAAACTCTCCCACATCCTCCAAGCCGTCATTTTCTTGAAGCAAACGAATGACGACTATTCAAATGTCGTCGGGACTCGTTACAGAACACTCCATGGGAATCTACCAACGCGCAGGGTGTTGCTGTTTCACGTCACAAAACCACAGTTCTCCTCTTCCTCCGATCGCGAAACACAACGCGAGGGATCCGAGTAGGTATACTTTCGGCTTTGGACGGGGCGAGATGCGACTCTTTGAGATCCTCATGGCAGCACCGCGCGGTCTTTTGGTACGGCTTTCCCGTGGAGCTGCGAAGTCCCCCTGACAGCTACCGCATAGCCCATTCCCGTGAGATCTTGAGACCCCGAAGCCAAGTCTCACATGAGCTCGTTTATTAAACACGTTGGCGAATTGCTGGACGTCAGGCGTCATTCCAGAAAGAGCCTCTTCCAAAACCGCCGATTTGACCGATCTATACGATGAAGTCTACTGCGTTATCAAGGTCGTTGTGGAATTGCCAATAGCGATGCGATATACAAGGCGACATCGTCGGAGCACGACTTGTTGCGTGAGGATCAGAGCCGTGTGACGTTTGGTGCGGAGGATAGCTGGTATCACTTGGCTGCCTCGGCGGTGCCGCCAAGCCTCGTCGGGTTGTGGAGGTACGCCCACCGCGACATCACCGACACAGCGTCACCTCCGCCTCCAGCATTATCTCCTTCTCACATCGCACCTTGATGCTGCTCCTACTGTGCGTCTCACGTAGCCAAGCCACCTCTTCATCATGCTCAATCAGCTCACGCAGCCCCAGCGCACAATCGCCCACCGCCGCGCATCCTCCAGCCGACTCCTCATCGCAACGTGAACGAGGGCGACAGTGTCTCTCACAATCATCCAGTACTTATGCAGTAGTAAGAGCAGCCCCATAGTTGTATGCCCATCCCTATCGCCTTTCGGTATAGTGTAGGCGTCCCCACTCGAGCGTCGCCCCAGGGCCCGGCTGACGTATCGCAGTGGCAGATGTTTACTCATCAACGCATTCCCCATCCTGATGCCGGTCCCCGCATCTCTAATCCCATCCTATGACACGACCGCACACGATGTCGGCAGACGCGCACTATACCATTACGGACACTCGCTTGGACCCCATTCCAGCAAGGCGCCACTCCGCCTCTCGAGCCGCAACGCATGCCTGGGACGGCCCGCTGGTGCTAGCATCGCATCGGGAGATGCATGTAATCTAGGACAAATGTGTTGATGAATGTGCACCGTGTCACGTACCACAAAGGTGAACAATGGCTGCGCAAGCTGTTGCGGGACATGGAAACGACAACACGCGCATTCGCGCTCGCTTGGCTGACACTCCCATTCGCATTGTAGAACGCGTCGTTACTTTCTCAACCCAATGTTTCTTTATCACCACTGGGCTTCTCGCCCTGCCCGCGTTCGGCGTCGATATCGGTGGAGGGCTGCGACCGTTGCCCGCTTCGTCGCAGACATCATGCCGCGGTTATACATACTTCTCCTACCACCCTCAAGCGTCGTCCGTTCGAAGAGAGCACCAGATTGCTACTCCCAATCTGATAGTCGTATGTTGCACACAGATTCCATGCACCAGCGCGCGCGAGACAAAGCATTTGCGGAGCGCAGCAGTTCTTAGTCAATTCTACATGGAACGAGTTTTCCACCGCGAATCTTGGCCGACAGGCTATGTATAGTAGTCGCTTGAGCTTGAAACCGGCTCCAGTTTGTCGTTCGTACAGTCGCGGAGGGCGCTGCGCCCTTTGCTTATGAATCTGACCCACAAGCGAGGTGGCGCCTTACTATTTCCGCACATCCTGCCCTGGTGAGACCACGTCGCGCGGTGTCGATGAATTAGTTGTAACTTCGCATCTACTTAAGCAAGCGTAGGTCGCTGTCGCGTTCGAAAGGAACCCCTGTCACTACCTGTCTTGAGGCTCTTCACGTACGACTTCAAGACCCTGGACGACAAGCACGCGCCACGATCTACACACGATGACTACCGCGGATCACCATAGTGTAAGGATGGTGCAAACCGATGGCACACATTCCCTTGCGCTATACACCCACGGCCCGGAACCGACCGATCCCCATGATGCGGTGGTACTGTTTGTCTCTGGTGTCGCAAGCAGCAGGCTCAATTGGTCAGCCGTCGTGCGACAGCTCTCTGCATCCATGCGCTGCTTCACCTACGATCGCGCTGGTTACGGGTTATCCGACAGCGCTCCGTACCCGCCCACAGCCGAGAATATTGCGTCAGATATCCAATACCTTGTCGAGAACGTTCCCTTCGAGAATCCTCTTATCCTCGTCGGTCATTCTTGGGCCGGCGTACTGATCAACGAATTCATTGCGCTGACAGGGAATGGACATCACATTGCCGGACTGGTACTTGTCGACGCGAACCACGAGACAATGCCACATGTCTTGAACGTCAACGACCCGGATCTCCAAGCCATGTCCGAGGGCATCAACCCATACATCGCCAAGGGAATTGCCGCAGAACACAAGCTGACGCAGCAGGAATGGGACGCACTTATGGCTGAGGAAGCGACCGAGAAGTACGCGGCGATTGCGCGCATGGAAGAAGATGAGTACGCAGCAAGCTTCGCGACGCTGCGCGACAAGAATTTGAGTGACCAGCAGCCGCTTCTCGGGGAGAAGCCCGTGTATGTTATTGGAGGCATGCGCAGTCGCGATTGGGATGGGATGTACAAGGCTGGACTTGCGAAAGGGAACGGTAGCGAAGAGCAAAGGCGTCGGGTACGCGAGTTGATTACCACGGCGGACGAGAAGAGCGAGAGCATCATGAGGCGACATCTTCAACTCTCCACGAAAAGCAAGCTTGTGTTCGCGCGCGCGAGCGGCCACTTCGTCCAAATGACGCAGCCCGAGGTCGTAGTCGAAGGCGTGAAGTGGGTTGTTGCCGCGCAAAGAGTTCTTGTTGCAGAACGCACCTTCTATTAGAGTTAACTCTGTTGCGTGCAAAGCAACGTTGCGTGTAACACTAGAATACTCTATTACTTTATTATAACTTCTAAAGCTATAGCTTTTTATATTCTACTATAAAATATATAAGTCTTACTTTAAGTTTAATTAATTTTCTTTTTAGTCTATTTATTAAACTATATAGTATCTATATTATAAGATAAACTACTTATACTAATATTAGCGTAAATACTTTTATTTTATAAATATTTAGCTACTAGAAATAGTACTCTATACTTATAGCTCTTTTTACTTTATACTAAAAATAATATATTCTATATATCTATAAAAATTAACTAGTAGTATAGAACTATATTCTTTATACTAAAGCTATTATTTTACTACTAGATTTATATTATCTTTATATATATAAGCTATCTTTTCTTTTTTATATCTACTAAGTATTTATTAGATTCTAGCTCTAAAAAGTCTAGACTAACTTAGCACTAGCTATAAATACTTTAGAATTACTATTATAGCTTAGTAGTAATTTATCTCTAGTCTTTTAAGAATAATATATCTAATTATAGTCTAATATTATATATTTAGTATTTAACTAACTTTATTATTTAATATTTAAATTACTTTACTTTATAATACTTTTATATATACTATTTAGATATAATAAGCTCTAAAGTAAGTTTCTTTAGCGTAATATAATATAGTAGTAAGTAAGCTATACTATTCTTACGCGTAATAAATAATAACTAAAAGAAATTAGCTTTTATATCTTTAGAAGTAGTAACACTATCTACTAAGAAACTTATAGATCTATTAAAAGTCTTTTTAG